TTAACCTTGTTTTCGCAACTTGGTCATATTGGTAGGAAGACTTAGAGGAACGCACCTAGTCCGGAGTCCAATGTATGCATGATCATTTCGAAAGTCGGGACGTGGACGTGAAGCATTCCCAGATGTTTCGCCGGCATCGTCAGTGAGTCTTGTCATTCTTAGCACCACACTACAACTCGTCAAAAGAGAAAAGTGAAGCCAATTCTTTGACCAAATATTTTCTAAACAGTTTTGGTATCTCTCCTATCATGGACTATTCACCTATCCTATATCCTCGTATCATGCCTTCACTGTTACACTATTTTACCGTGCTTATTTAGATGTAGTGTGGTGTGATCCTTTGGGTGGTATTCATGAAAACCCTCCACACTCCACGCTGGCGTTCTCACCCCCCTCATCACCATTGTGCTGAGAATGTTAATTAGTGTGCAGTCCCTCCCTGGGTCTTATCAAAGTCTCCCTTTTGCCCCGTAGGATCCGTCTGAAATCGCTCTGGTTCAAGTATTTCACTCGACCCCTGCCACCCCATCTGTGCCGTTATTTCCCACACTCTGCGTCTGCTAGATTAGCTTGAGGCTAAAGATCCCGAGTAATTGTTGTGGTCAAGCCTTTGCTTCATGGACCACGTTTATGGCAAAACAGGTTTATTGTCGGCTAACTAGCTCTAGTCTTCGCCGCGTCTATTCTGTTTCTATCCCTAATACCAAGTCCATGACTTCCCGTGCACGAGTTTCTCGTATGCAAACCCACAAATGTAGTGCTCTAACATTGAACCTATTCAAAGCAAGCAGTACCACAACGTTTGTTAGTCTAGCAGAAGCAGAGTCTGGGAAATAACGCCTTATAAAGCATAGATTGGGTGGCAGGTTTGGAGTGATATACATGAATCAGAGAGATAGCAGACGGATACTACGGGGCAAGAGGGAGACTGATAAGACCTAGGGAAGGAGGTCTGTGTAACAATATGGCAGACTCTGATCAAAATTCCCAGGACAATGGTGAAAGGGAGTGAGAACGCCAGTGTGAAGTGTAGAGGGTTCTCATGAAAGCTGCTCAAAAGGGCACACCACACAACATTTGAATAAGTAAGGAAAAATTGTGATATTGAGGGCGTGATACGAGGATATAGGAAACGAGGTCAACCCACTTCTATAAAATGAAAGGAGACTGCGACCATATCAGAGGCCACAACATCTTGGTCTTCATATCTTATTTCTACAGCCTGGAGCATCATTTCTTTACAGCCCCGGATCGTCAACTTAGCTTTTGGCCTCCCAGATGTCAAATGCGTAAACCTTTACGCACTTTGGTATAAATGCGCCTCAATCTCGTACGCCAATCCATTCCGTTTCTGCATCCGCGAAGGTACAAGTTCGGTCAGTCCTCCATTAAAGAAGATTGCGCTCATCTAGCGCCTATGTCCAACGGAAAGCTTTAGAACAGCAGTTTCATTATATCTGGATCCATCAGACAACCGTTGTTTCTGCTAAGCAACATAACCTTTCTGTAGAGCCAAGGTTGTCTACTATCAGCTTTGAGACTTCGCAACGTCCTATCTTTTGGCATCTCCATGTTTGGCAGCACAAAATCCAGCAAGCTATTGTGGCTATCTTGTTCATGCCCTATTTTCACTATTCGTACTTTTATGTCTTAGCATCTTCATGATCACATTTTTATTCGTTTAGAGCCTACCCTGACAGAGTTAGTCTCTTGAGGAAGAGTATTGTAGTGACCTATCCTCAATCTTTTCCTATGCAATGTTTATTTTTTGTAACATACCATACGTAGCCATGGCTCAGCATCCTTTGGTAAAGAAATTACGTGAGTGCGTGACTAGTCATGATTCTCTGTTTCGCCTCTTTCAATCAACGTTTGGCACCGCAACGTCCAATAAGAAGTTGGCATGGAAAACTACGCAAGGGTAGCTAACATTGTGTTTAAGCAAGTCACGTCCTATTCCTTCTCTTTCTCCCTTTGCTGTCATCCACGGAGTTTAGAAAGTTCTGTTTCGTGCTAACTTTAAATGGTTGTCTTTCTATTGTCAGCCTCATCATAACGTATTCAGCCGTTTAAAAATAGAATTAAATTGGTAATACTATTTTTCCTTTTCTCTCTTCATTTCACTGCCTCCATATTTGGAGTTGCAGAAAGAAAGCGTTTTATATTTTTGACACAATCCACGTCCTTCTTTGGAACACACAAAGTTATATTTGCTATAACAATAAACTACATTACTTATTTCTCGTTTATGAGTAGGGTTTCGAGATTATCAGAAAATCTGTTATATGAAATGGATTCATCCTATTTAGTTTAAAATTATGAAAAACTGTTAGTTGAATTTTCCCACAATAAAGTGAATAGAGCTGACGCTTCCAGTAACTTTTCGAGATTACATGTGGCCCTGTTATGACTCGAGTCCCGCTAGGGGTGTTTATAAGACCTAGGCGAGGTCGAAACTGCAGTCTACTCTGGATGAGAGCACCCTTATGGAAAGCAATGCTATGTGAAATTCAATGAGAGCGTCAGCTCTAGCCAAATCATTGTGGGAAAATTCAGCTACCAATCCTCCATCACCTTAAACGAATTAGGGTGAATGCATCTAATATAACTGATTTACTGGTAGTTTCGAGGCTACACTCATAGACAATAAATAACGTTTATATTATAAAAATTTCTAACAAAAAAATAATTTCAATGTTAAATCCAGGAGCACGTTTTCAAATAACCAGTACCCTAAGTTTGAGATTCCTCAACTTATGATTGCACCTCATTTAATCAAGATTTCCAAGAGGTCTTGTGAATCAAATAACTTTACAAAAACAAGAATAATATTGGCTAAAAAGTAGACTATTTATTTGACGAAGGAGAGGAAACAAGAAGATTGACAAAGGTTCTGAACGAATTGTGGATTTAATGCAGGACGTAAGAGGTATACGAAAAAAAATTTAGTGAAGCTTCTGCACAGGCTGTCTTCTTACCACTATTTCGTCATGGTACTTTAAAATTTCCAGGAATCCATGCCTTACATTTTTACAGATTTATCTCAGACAAGGCGAAAGTAGTTCAAATTGTAACAGGGAATTTTAGTCCGGTATGCGAATACGCTTAGACAAGTTGGTTGTTTGAAAGTGGAGGTGAGTAGGAACTAGACAATCAGCTAGACAAACAAAACGAGATTTGAGACAGATTAACCGTTGCGATCAAATTTTGACTTGAGAACACTGACGGGGTCCAGAGAAAATTTTCTGTAGAACCAAAAGGGAACTTAAAGAATAACGCAATAAAATTCATGAATCAAAATTCTTACTGCTGCTACTAGTGCAAAATATTTTTAAAGACTCGTAAAGGGCTCGAAGCCAGAGGTCAAAAAACCTGATCCTTACAATATGTTGTATGCAGTACTTAGTTTGGCTAAACAAAGTGTGGGATTAAGGAAAGCTTAGTTTGGTATGATGAGAAACAAAGTAAAATGTTTTCAGTGTTGCCGGATTAAATTGTCTTCAAGATTTTCTAATTGCTAACAGGAGAAAGACAAGCAAGTCGTTAAAATAAATCAAATTTTATCAGGTTTTACCTTTTCCGACTGCACAAAAATAAAAATTACATTCATATAAGAGAAAAAACTGAGATGAAAGTGGAAGATATCGGCGTGTATATCGCAGTAAAGCATTACATTAAACATACCTGAAGATGCTATTGAAGGTCGGTGATCCTTTTGCGGATCGACATCATCGTTGGTGCCGTCAATTTGGTTAATAACTCTATATATAAGCAAAGAAATATAAATCTTTAGAAAGGAGCAAGATAAAGGGATCGATTTGAAAGCTTCTATACAACTTGCCATCCATTCGTAGAGCGAAATTGATTTAAGTATAAAACAGCTTAAGGATGGAAAAATAATGCTATTAGTGTGAAAAAATAGGAAAAATGCAATCCGGGTAGCACAGAAAATCAGACCTACAAATAATCAAGCCAAAATGACTAGTGGATAAATCAGAGGAAAATTAATACAAACTTGTAATGTTCTGCTTATTGGCTGATAAAAGTCATGATAGGAACAATTGAATATGAGCAAGATGCCAAGTTTCCTTGGCTTGGTGCTATGGCAGAGGACTCGGAAGCGGGTCTACCCTGTCGCTCAGACCAAGTTACGAAGACGAAATCATACCAGCTGAATACAAAATTTGCTTTGATTTGCTTCTAATCCAGAGACGTGGAAATACAATAGCTTCGTTGGCTAAAATGAGAGCTAATTTAGATAATCAGCCTTGGTCATAACTAACCTTAATCCTGACTTCGAAATTCTAAAGAAATATTAAAAGCAAAACCTATCTGAATCTCTGGCTCCTGGTAGAACTCAAACAGCTTTTGCAGCTCGAGATAGTTATAAAGATGTCCATGATAGACATAAGAGCATTAGTAATTAGTAAATCTTGCCTCAAGGATCAGAGAAAATTCTCTTAATATTGGACCTATTGGGGAAAAATAAAGAGTAATGTCCAAAAAGAACTCAGACAAATAGAAAGATCCGTTTAAGCAGAAATAATTTTATAATAGCAGCAATTTAAGAAATAATTTACACAACACAATTTACCAAATCAAGTCTTCTGAACTCGATGCAGGACGAATGCAGGAGGCGTCTCTGTGCAATAGACTTTGCATTAGGTCGCAAGCAAACATGAAGTATATTATATTGGTTTGATCTCATATACACAACTTGGTAGGAGTAACAGGGAGACCTACTGAACGTGCCTAGTCCTGCATCCTCTGCCGCATCGCTC